TCCAGCTCTACACCTTGTTATCTCAGATTCTCCAGCATCTGCAGTTCCTACTATCTCTGCTGGAGAAAATTAGCAGGTCTGGCAGCATCTGTGGAGAGTTAGCAGAGTTAACATTCTGATGAAGGGTCACTAGACCTGAAACGTTAACTCTGCTTTCTCTCTACTGATGCTGAGTTTTTCTGTGTTTTTTCCCCCAGGATTCTAAACCTATATTCTTCTATTGTACCTTCGTACTTCTGTGCATACTTTGATGTGGTACTGGAAGCAATCTAGAGATTATCACTTTTGAGGTCCTGCGTGCTAATTTACTATCTAGCTTCACAAATTCTGAGTTCTGGACCACGTTGTTCTTAATGCCCACGTCAGCCACAATTTTCACCCAGATTACTTGTGACCCCCTCAGCGTTTTTGTGTTCCCATTCTCTCCTGTATACATTTTTAAAATTTTGACCTATTTTTCAAATCAACCTGTTAAGAGATATTATTACACATGAGCAAGCGGTGGATGTGGGTACAATTACAAAGTTTAGAAGACATTTGTATAAGTACATGAACAGGAATGGTTTGGAGGGATATGGGCCAGGAGCAGCAGGTGAGACTAGTTTAGTTTGGGATTACGTTTGGCATGGACTGGTTGGACTGAAGGGTCTGTTTCCGTGTTGTGTGACTCTATGACCTCCGGAGCAAGTGGGACTTGAACCTGGGTCTCCCAGTCCAGGGGGAGGGACACTAGCACTCCCACTCTGACCTGTTGTAGCATCACAAATGGTGACAACGTAAGGGCTTCCAAATTGAATGTCACACGGAATTTTTTTCAGTTTGTTTCTTAGACTCTGCACATTCGTATAAAGAATATTTATTTGGGACTCACACCTGAACCCATAGCTTCCCAATGTTTTCATACCGTGACCCCATTTTTTGAGATATAAGAGGAGAGGACAGTTGTTATGATTCAGTCAGAACTCCAAGGTGCTGTCCACTTGGTGGGAGGGGTTCTTAAAGCCCAAGCCCTCTTTCCAAACCTATCCTTTAACTCTATTGATTGATTTTTTTTATTGTCATGTGTACTGAAATACAGTGAAAAGCTTTGTTTATGAGCGGTACAGACAGATGACAGCAAGCAAAGGATGTACAGATCAAAATGACTTAGAGGCATACGTGTTACATTGCAGGTCACATTATTTGAGCCTAGAGTCTATTCAACAGTCTGATAACGGCCGGAAAGAAGCTGTTCCTGAGCCTGCTAGCGTGTGTGTTCAGACTTCTGTAACTTCTGCCCGACGGGTTGTAGGAGATCATTGCAAGGGTGTAATGGGCCTTTCTGTGGCAGCGAGCCATGTAAATAGAGTCCATGGATGGGAGGTTGGCTTCTGTGATGGTCTGGCCTGTGCACACCACCTTTTGTAGTTTCTTACTGTCCTGAGCAGAATAGTTGTCACACCAGGCCGTTATGCACCTGGACAGTGTGCTTTCAATGGTGCATCTGTAGAAGTTGATGGGGGACCTTATGGACATGCCAAGTTTCCCGAGCCGCCTGAGGAAGAGGAGTTGTTGTGCCTTCTTGACTGTCACATTTACATGGGAAGTGAAGGACAGTTCATTGATTATCATCACTCCGAGGAATTTGATGCTCTTCACACACTCAGCCTCAGTTCCTTTGATGTAGATGGGGGCGTATTCTCCTCCTTTCTTTCTGAAGTCGATGATCAGTTCTTTAGTTTTGCCGACGTTGAGAGACAGATTGTTTTCATTACACCGTATCCCCAAGCCCTCTATCTCCATTCTGTATTTTGGCTCGACGTTGTTAGATATCTGTCCCACTACGATGGTATTGTCAGCGAACTTGTAAGCTGTCTTGTTATAATGTATTTATATTTGAAGTTTTCCCTTTGCCTGTAGTATATAAAGCACACTGTTTGCCGCCGGCTGCATCCTTTCCCCTCACTACTTCACAATTTATTTAGAGCTGACTCCCACGGATTCCTCGCCAGCGCATGCGCTTCAAGCGAGAGAGGGGGGGCATTCCGGAGCCGCATTTGCGCACGCGTGTTAGTCGCTTCCGGTCGGCGGGAAAATGGCGGCGGCGGCAGCGGGAGCGGGGCTCCGCGGCGGAGCGGCTCACGGAAACCCCGGCACCGGGGCCGTGCAACAGGGACTCAAAGAGGCGCTCTTCGAGGCGCTCAGTTCCATTCTGTCCCCCGTGCAGGAGGTACGGGCCGCCGGCGAGGAACAGATCAAAGTCCTGGAGGTGACAGAGGGTGAGTGAGGGGGAGGGGAGACCGGGCAGTAGTGGGGAAGTGACTGGGGAAGGTCCGTGGGTTGGGGAGGTAGCGGGGGGGAGGAGGTTGAGGCGGGAGAGGGAGGTGGGGGATTGGGCAGGGGAAGTGGCTGGAGAGGGGGAGGGTGACGAGGGGTGATGGGGTGGGGTGAATTGGAGGAGAGGCTGACCACTGACCAAAGAGGTGTCAAAAGCAATTGCACACATGCGCTTAGCCCACATGGTGCTTTAGCAACTATTCCTGACCCTTCTTAATCTTCAGGCGTATAAGTGAAGTTTTATAACCTTAATTTAAAGTCTGTAAATGATGACGAAGATAGTAAATCAATAACAGCGTAAGCGGAAAAAATGTCAGTGAAAAAGGTAGCAGCAATAACATTTCACAAAGCAACAAACCAAATATACCAAAGAACTGTGCTCAACTATCTTGTCCAAATGTTGGGCAGTGGGCTATGAAACTGTTCCTCCAGTTAGATCGTGTTTGTGGAGCAAGTGCCTGCATAGACCAACTCAGTTGTAGTCTCAAGCCCCGTGTTGGATCATGGCTTTTTAAAATTTATTTATTCAATTTAAGGTTTTAAATTGTACTCATTAATTAATCGTGAATTGAGAATTTTAATTTTGAGAAACTGCCAGACTGTTAACAATGTTGGCCAGTATAGAGGTGCACAAGAGTGACTGGTGAATTGGGCTTCTTGAGAGGATATGGAAACAGAGTTTTAAATGTTTCTCATGGTGTAGGATTAAATGTGCTGGGTATGCCTTTGTCATTTCCGGGGACTAGGCTGATGCTGTTTTTATTTGCCTTGTCTTTCCCATGGTTTGGTACAACTGAGTGATTTGCTTGGCTATTTCAGGGAATAGTTGAGAGTCAGTCATGTTGCTGTTACTATGTAGTCATGTTTAGGCCAGATTAGTTAAGGACTGCAGATTTCCTTCTGTAAAGAACTTTCATGAGCCAGAGATAGTAGGAACTGCAGATGCTGGAGAATCTGAGATAACAAGGTGCAGAGCTGGATGAACACACATTTCGGGCCCGAAACGTCAGCCTTCCTGCTCCTCTGATGCTGCTTGGCCTGCTGTGTTCATCCAGCTCTGCACCTTGTTATCTCACTTTCATGAGCCAGCTGGGTTTCTAAAGAGGATCTAGTGGATTGATGGCCACCATTACTATGATCAACTTTTTATTCCTGATTTATTTAATTGTGAACTCAAATTCCAAGCACCCGGTTATTGTGGAGAAATTTTAACTCGTATCTCTGAAGAATTAGTCATGGCTTCTAAATTACTCCTCCTGTAACATGCTGTGCTCTGTATAATTGTCTCCAGTGTTGTACAGTGACCGACTCGTACCTGTCCATTCTGCACCTCACTGTTATCCACTGACAGTTGAGTATTTTATGCTGTTGAAGGATTCTTAATTCCGAGTAAACAAGAAATACTCAGTTGAACACTTAGTAAGAACATAGCAACTTTGTTCTGATCTAAATGCTTCCACACAGGTGTTTTCTCACTGATAAGATTGGAGAATTAGAAAGCCATATAGCCCTTCAAGTCTGTTCAGCCATTGGGTAAGGTATAAAAACAGAAATTGCTGGAAAAGCTCAGCAGGTCTGGCAGCATGTATGGAGAGAAATCAGTTAACGTTTCGGGTCGAGTGATCTTTCCTCAGAGTTCTGATTTCTCTCCACAGATGCTGCCAGACCTGATGAGCATTTCCAGCAATTTCTGTTTTTGTTTCTGATTTACAGCATTTGCAGTTCTTTCGCATTTAATTCAGTAAGGTATGGCTGATACTATAGCTCAGCTCTCTTCTGTCATTTTTCTTAACATCTACCCTTTAAAGCCTTGTTGGAATCTTTCATGTTTCAGTGAAATCATCTCTTACTCTTCTCAACTTGACTGAATATAGGGCTATTCCACTTGATCTTTCCTATTGGGTCAATACTGCCATGCAACAAATTTATCTGCGTGATGTTAATATGTGGGTGTGTTAGGAAAATCTCTCCTGAAAATCCTGAAGTTGCCTTGGGAACCCCCCTCAAAGAGGTGATCACCAAGAGTAGTCACTCCTGTCAGTTGGCAGGAAGTAATAGATGAGGAACTGCTCCTCCAATCATGGGTCCACTGCTGAAGCTGTCAGCAACAAAAATGGGAGAGAAACAACCTGTAGTTGGAGGAGCAGCGAGCAAAGTTAATAAATGTTGACAGTGTGGGAATTGTGAAGACAGAGAGTCAAGAGTACAGAGGCTGTGCTGAGATCAGGGAGTGAGTGCTGGAGAAAGCAAATTAGGCAAGAGAGTGAGGCTGCAAAGTGTCTGGGGATGTGAGCATCCGAAAGGAGATGGGTGCTATGTATGAGAGGGCTAGGGTGGGAAGATGAATGCCTTACTGGGGATGGAGGGAGAGCCAGTAGAGAGATGAGTCTCAAAAGGGCGGTGAGGTATTCAGGTGGGCTGCAAGGGAGACAGTCCTGATGAATTGGGGGTGAGCGGGAATGGGGTGGATGCACGGGGTCTGGGGAAGATTTTAAGGTGCTCATTAACACTGCTTTAATAGTGAATTCTGATGACTAAAATGCAGCAAATTACTCTGTAGTTCCCCTTTATTCACTTCCTTCATTCTTAAGTAACAGTATTATATATTCTAGCTTCCAATCTACTGCAATTGTGGGATCTCTTGTTGGGAGATCACTGTTGCTGTCTCTTTATCCATCTTTTTGCAGTGCTAGAATGTAGGCTTTCAGAATCAGGAGATTTGTTGACCACCACATTTTTACATAACTCATAATTATGTTTCTCACTTGCATGAGATGCTTGGTTTCCGACTAATTTTGGTATTAGTTTTGTTCTCTCAATTGTGAGGACATGCACACAGTCAATAAAATCTTTGTAAAATTCTTATTTTCCATTATAATTTATCCTATCATAGGCTCCTAGGGACCTACATTTACTTTCACTATTCTACCCTGTACAATTCTATAATCTTTGACTAATTTCCTTTCATATTCCAGTCACAATCTATTTTGTTTTTTGTTGTCTGATGGTATCTAGAATTTAACCGATGTTTAGACCTGCTAAAACAAAAATAGAAATTTCTGGAGCAACTCAGAAGGTCTGGCAGCATCTGTGGAGACAAAGCAGAGTTGACGTTTCAGGTCTAATAACCCTCCTTCAGAATTTAGAATGACTAAACTTGACAAAGGTGTAAATTTCCTTTAACCTGATATTATCCTTAATTGCTAATTAGCCATGGATTGAATAAACTGTCTTCTCCTTTAGTCTTTGTATTTCTCAATGGGCTGTGTTGATATAATCTGTTTCAGAGTTCGGTGTTCACCTGGCTGAGCTGACAGTGGATCCACAAGGTATTCTAGCTATTCGGCAGGTAGGTGCAAAATGTCACTATAACATTGGTATGGAGCAGGACAAGGGAATTTGAGCTTCAAGTTTGAAGTTTTTGATGACTGTATTTTAACATTGTTGCAATAAAACCTGTATAAACCAACACTCCCAAAGTGGACATTCAAAAATCTTGCACGCAATTATGGAGACTCCCTCTCCAGATGAGATTTGTTTTGGAATATATAAGATGCACTCTGAAATCATGGATAAGCTTAAAACAAATAACAGCCTTTGCAGCACCAAGCTTTTTTTAAACATTTCAAAACCGTGCTCTCACAGGATGTGGGTGGTGTTAGTTAGTCCAGTATTTATTACCTTTCCCTTGATAGGTAATGTTTGACCTTGAGCTGGTGGTGAGGAGCTGCCTTAAAGCGTTGTTAACCATGTGGTGTGGGTCTACTGAAAATGCTGTTCGGGAAGGAGTTCCAGGATTTTGACCTGGCGGCAATGAAGGAACAGTGATTATATTTACAAATCAGAAGAGGGCAGGCATTTGCTGGCTTTGTCCTTCTGGGTGGTAGAGTTTGCAGGTGGGAAAGTGCTCTGGAGGAAGCTTTGGCGCCAGTCAACTTAAAACATGTGGCAAACAAACTAGTGCCAAGTGACAGAGGATTTTGTGAATAAAATTGCTTTAGTGGAATGGAGAGTTCTTTATCTAGGATCCATAGCGACAGACAAACAGCTCTTTTCCAGGGTCAAAATCTTTCATAGATCTTCCCCAGGGTTAAAGATTTCTTTGCTGCTGTTAATTCTGACCAAAGACACCTCTATTCATGCAACAATGGTTTTAAACATGAAACCTGGGAAGAAATGGTTTAAGTGTCTTTAATGTCCATGTTTCACTGTATGGAGCTGAAGTTCCAATGTGAGGATTGGATCCAACTCTCACAAGCAATGTCGTAGAATCCCTACAGTGCAGAAAGAGGCCATTTAGCCCATCAGGTGTGCAATCAGGTGAGCATTCCATCCAGACTCAGCACCCCCTACCCCCAATCACATCCCCATAAACCTGCATTTTCCATAGTTAATCCACCTAACCCGTTCATCCCTGAACACTATAGGGCAATTTGGCAAGGCCAGTCCACCTAACTTACGGGGATAACGTGCAAACTCCACACAGACAGTCGCCCAAGGCTGGAATCGTACCCAGGTCCCTGATGCTGTGAGGCAAAGTGCTAACCACTGAGCCAATGTGGTGCCCCTATATGGGAAATTGTACTCAATTAAGCAACTAGAAATGGGCATCCTTCAGTCAAAAATGTGTTTTCTGTCATGTCAGTGTGAAAATTCCAGTAATGTCCTGTTGAGTTGGGCAGAAAGGCAAAGTAAACCAGAAGCATCTCTCCCTCTCTTACTCCTCCTAAGTTAGACCTAACTATTTTGAGGTTTTTCAGGTTGCCAAGTTATTTTTAGTTTTGTGTGATAAGTGACATGAAATGAAATTCAGAGCAAACTGTTTGTGTGTTAGATGTGAAATAAAATAGTTTAACTTGCTGTCAAAGAGGTGTCGATCAGGTTTTTCTTCCACATCTTGGAAAACAATAACATGAAGACATGTGATTAGGCGCACTGTTAATTATCATGATCCTGAAATTTGCTATGAAAATGCCATTCTGCATTGGACAGTAAAAGTAATCTTTATGATCATAAGCATGGGCCTACTTTTGGGATACTGCACAGCGGCTAATAGATTATTGAGCTCATAACCAAATATAAGTATTAGTCTGGATGATATTATGTTATCAAGGAAATGTATATGGTAAAAAATTTTAACTAAACACTTTTTGTCCACAGCTGGCATCTGTAATACTCAAGCAGTACGTGGAGAATCATTGGTGTAATCAATCTGAGAAATTCCATCCACCAGAGACTACTGAGAGGGTAAGAATGGCACGAGAATGAGTATCATAGAAATCAATTAGTTTTGGTGATGATTGGCTGGCACCGGTATGAAACATAAGACCAAGGTGCATAAAAGGCTGAGGCAGCCAAGTAGCACTGGATTAAAAAATAATTGAATATCTCAGTGTGAGTAATCAGCTGTAGTGACTTCAAACCAACACAAGATGAGTTTAGTGCATGTGTATGTCTACATAGAGTTATGATTCTGATGGAAGTCCATAACCTGAAAAGAATGGAATCCCCAAACAGTGCTAACAAAAAGAGTTGAGAGATGAGATTTCACTTGTTAAAACATTTACTGTAACAGATCAACCCAAAACCAATAACTTTTAGAATGTATTAGCAAAAAATGGTATTTCAGTATAAAATTAAGCATTTCACTTTGAGAAACAAAGGTAAGTGTTATGAAAGTACAAGCATTTCCCCCATTCTGTATGTAATGTTGATCTCAACTATTCAGTCCCACATACCAGGTGGAGATTCAATTCTTTTGCTCAGACTGGTCTTCTAAACCTGATTTTCATAGGCCCCAAAAAGGCATCCTCTACCAGACTTTCCAGTTATACCCCCATTCCAGTGTGCCTGTTTGTTGTATTTTAACTTAAAAGGATAGCTCATAAATGCAAGCTTTGCCACATACTATATAGGATACACATCTTATCAAAAAAGCAAGCAGTTGGGCAAAGGGAGCAGGGCTGCCTTGTTAGTAAGAAATGAAATTACGTTGATAGTTAGAATTGATGCAGAGTCAGAAGGCATAGAAACTGTGTGGCTAGAATTGAAGAACGCCAAAGGAAAAAAGTCAATGATAGGAATTGTGTGTAGGCCTCCTAGGTAGTCAGGATGTGGGGCAGAAAATAAATCAGGAGATAGAATAATAATGGGGACTCAGAATGGAGGTGGTCTGGGAAATCTAGTTGGTAGCAGATCCCAAGAAAAGGACCTGTCTACAAGATGGTTTTTGGAGCAGTTTATGATAGACCTCACTAGGGAACAAGTAATTCTGGATTTGTGATGTATAATGAGGCAGTCTTGATTAGCTTCACCCTGCAGTTTGAGAGGGAGAAGCTGGAATCAGATGTAAGTGTATTACAATTGAGTAAAGGTACTACAAAGGCATGAGGGAGAAGCTTGCCAGAGTTTATTTGGAAATGGAGCCGAGCAGGAAAACAGTGGAGCAGCAATGGCAGGATATTCTGTAGGCAATTGGGGATGCATCAGAAATTCATCCCAAGGAAGAAGTAGCATACAAAGGGGGGAATGAGGCAACCACGACTGACGGGGACGTCAGGGACAGCATAAAACCAAAACAAAAAGCGTACAATGTGGTGCATCGTAGAACCCCCACAGTGCAGAAAGAAGTCATTTGGCTCATCAAGTCCTGCAGTGACCTTCTAAAGAGCATTCCACCCAGGCTCCTACTACGTCCCTGTAACCCTGCATTTACCATGCTGATCAACCTAGCCTGGATATCCCTGGACACTACTGGACAATTTAGCACGGTCAGTCCACTTAACCTGCACATCTTTGGACTGAGGAAACCCATGCAGACATGAGGAGAACGTGCAGACTCCATACAGACAGTCATCCAAGGCTGGCGCTGAGAGGCAGCAATGCTTACTACTGAGCCACCGTGTCGCCTGAGAATTTGTGTGGCCCAAGCCACTGCCGTGAAGATGAATGGGAAGCCTTTAAAACCAGTTTCTAAACTGGTTAGAAAAAGATAACTTAAAAAGCAATAAGTGGGGAGAAGAGGAAATGTATCTAGTAATGTAAAAGTAAATTGTCTTACCTTTTAGATATCATAAAACTTCTTGCAAAGGCAAGAATGGACATTGTACTTCTAGAACGTGAGGCTGGAGAAGGAGTAATAGGGAACCAAGAAGTGGTGGAGGAACTGAATAGGTACTTTGTATCAGTTTTCACAGTGGAAGACACCAGCAGCGTACCAAAGCTTTGAGAATCAGGGCGCAGTGTAGTGCCATCACCAAGATGGTGATGGGGAAGCTGAAAGGTCTGAATGTCGACATTGCTTGGACTGGATAGACTACAGCCCAAAATTCTGAAGAAGAAAGCTGAGGAGATTGTAGAGGCATTGGTGATGATTTTTCAGGAAACATTGGAGTCAGGAGGGGTGCCAGAGGTCTGGAAAATAGCTAACATAACACCCCATTTAAGAAAGGAAGGAGGCAGTAGACAAGAAACTACAGGCCAGTTGGCCTGACATTGGTCTTTGGGAACGTTTTAATGTCTGTTGTTAAGAATGTGATTGTGGGGTACTTGGAAGTGGAAGGTAAAATAGGCAGAGTTAGCACGGCTTGGTCAAGGGAAGGTCATGTCTGACAAATCTGTTAGAATTCTTTGAGGAGGTAATGAGCAAGGTAGACAAAGAAGAGTCATTGGACGTGTTCTGCTTGAATTTCCAAAAAGCCTCTGACAATGTCCCACACTAAATTAGGCTGCTAAATTAGTTAAGACCCCATGCTGTTAGGGGCAAGGTTCTGGCATGGATAGAAGATTGTTGACTGGTAGAAGGCAGAGTGTGGAGATAAAGGCGCCGTTTTTCAGGCTGGCCGCTGGTGACTAGTGGAGTTCCGCAGAGGTAAATGTTGGGACCACAACTATTCACATTACACATTAATGATCTGGATAAAGGAACCAAGAGCATTTTTGGTAAGTTTGCAGATGACACAATGTTAGGTGGAGGCAGAGGTAATGTTGTGGAAGTGGGGAGGCTGCAGAACGACTTGGACAGGCTAGGAGAATGGGCAGAGAAATTTCAGATGGAATACAATGTGGAAAAGTGAGAGGTTATACACTTTGGTAGGAAGAATAGAGGAGAAGACTATTTTCTAAACTGAGAAAGAATTTGGAAATCTGGAGCACGAAGGGATTTGGGAGTCCTAGTTCAGAATTCTGTTAAGGCTAACATGCAAATTCAGTTGGCACATTGGAAGGCAAATGTAGTGTTAGCATTCATTCAAGAGGGTTAGCATACAAGAGCAACAATGTACTGCTGATGCTGTATGAGGCTTTGGCCAGACTGCATTTTGAATATTGTGAGCAGTTTTGGGGGCCCTGTATCTAACAGAGGATGTGCTAGCATTGGAGGGAATCCAGAGAAGGTCTTGACATGTGAGGAATGGTTGAAGACTCTGGGTGTGTACTTGTTAGAGTTTAGAAGGATTATGGGGGGCCTGAATACTGAGGGGCCTTGAAAGAGTGGATGTGGAGAAGATGTTTCCACTAGGAGAGATTATGATCCGAGGGCATGGCCTCAGAGTGAAGGGACAGCCCTTTAGAACTGAGGTAAGAAATTTCTAGAGCAGAAGGATAGTGAATTTGTGGAACTCAATGCTGCAGAGGTCTGTGGCAGCCAAGTCATTGAGTGCATTTAAAACGGGTTCTTAATTAGTAAGGCAATCAAGGGTTGCAGGGAGAATGCAAGAGAATGGGGTTGCGAAACTTATCAGCCAAATGGCAGAGCAGACTTATGGGTCAAATGGTCTAATTCTGCTCCTGCATCTTATGGTTATATGTAATGTTATTCATCTATAGATATGAGTCATGTGAGACAATGATATAGCACATCTGGTGAAAGTTTAAACAGGGAGAAACTGTTCTCATTTGTATAGGGTTGGAGAGTGAGAGGGCACACATTTGAAGCAGTTGGTAAAAGAAGCAAAAGTGGTCAGAGGAAATATGTTTTCATGCAGTGAGTGGTTAACATGTGGAATGCAGTGTCCGAGTGTATGGTGAAGGCAGATTCAGCTGAAGGATTCAGAAGGAAGTGAGACTGTTATTTGAAAAGGAAGGGTGTCCACGGTTATGGGTAGAAGGTGGAGTAAAGGCAGTAGGTAATTGTCCATTCAAGGAGCTGCTGCATACACAAAGCACTGAATGTCCATCTCCTATGCTGAAGAATTCTGAAGTAAGGGAAGATTGGGAACTTAATAACCTGCATTCAGGAATATTCAGGAAAAAGTAAGGAAGGGAGAAAAAGGTGAGGGGTTAGCAGTTTTGATCAAAGAAACCTAACAGTGGGGGGGAAATGAAAGGACAGAGTTGATGGATGAAAAAGTGAATTCACTTGCTTCACATGGAACAATAGAGGAGCTATTATGAAACTACACTTCATAAGAACATAAGAACAAGGAGCAGGAGTAGGCCATCTGGCCCCTCGAGCCTGTCCCGTCATTTAATAAGATCATGGCTGATCTTTTTGAGACACAACTCCACTTACCTGCCGACTCATCATAGCCCTTAATTCCTTTACTGTTCAAAAATCTATGTAGCCTTGCCTTAAAAACATTCAGCGAGGTAGCTTCAACTGTTTCACTGGGCAGGGAATTCCACAGATTCGGAACCCTTTGGGTGAAGAAGTTCCTCCTGACCTCAGTCGTACATCTGCTTCCCTTTATTTTGAGGCGATGCCCTCTAGTCCTAGTTTCACCTGCTAGTGGAAACAACCTCCCTGCCTCCACCTTATCTATTCCCTTCATAATCTTATATGTCTCTATAAGATCTCCCCTCATTCTTCTGAATTCCAATGAGTATAATCCCAGTCTACTCAGTCTCTCCTCATAATCCAACCCTCTCAACTCTGGAATCAACCAAGTGAATCTCCTCTGCACCCCCTCCAGTGCTAGTATATCTCTTCTCAAGTAAGGAGACCAAAACTGCACGCAGTAGTCCAGGTGTGGCCTCACCAGGACCCTGTACAGCTGCAGCATAGCCTCCCTGTTTTTAAACTCCATCCCTCTAGCAATGGCAGACAAAATTCCATTTGCCTTTTTGAGTACCTGCTGCACCTGCAATCCTACTTTTAGCGATTCATGCACAACGACACCCAAGTCCCTCTGCACAGCAGCGTGCTGCAATTTTTTACTATTTAAAACATAGTCCATTTTGCTGTTATTCCTACCAAAATGGATGACCTCAACTTATCAACATTGTACTCCATCTGCCAGACCTTTGCCCACTCACTTAGACTATCTATATCCCTCTGCAGACTTGCAGTGTCTTCTGCACACTTTACTCTACCACTCACCTTAGTGTCATCTGCAAATTTTGACACACCACACTTAGTCCCCAACTCCAAGTCATCTATGTAAATTGTAAACAATTGCGGTCCCAACACTGATCTCTGAGGCACACCACTAGCCACTGACCGCCAACCAGAAAAACACCCATTTACCCCTACTCTTTGCTTTCTACTGGTCAACCAATCCTCTATCCGTGCCAATACATTACCTGTAATACCATGCAACTTTATCTTATGTAGCAGCCTTTGGTGTGGCACCTTGTCAAATGCCTTCTGGAAATCCAGATACACCACATCCACAGGTTCCCCATTGTCCACCATGCAAGTAATGTCCTCCAAGAATTCCACCAAATTAATTAAACATGACCTACCCTTCATGAACCCATGCTGGGTGTTCCCAATGGGACAATTTATATCCAGATGTCTTGCTATTTCTTCCTTAATGATAGATTCAAGCATTTCCCCACTACCAAAGTTAAGCTAACTGGCCTGTAGTTACCTGCTTTTTGTCTACTTCCTTTTTTAAACAGTGGTGTCACATTGGCTGTTTTCCAATCTGCGGGAACCACCCCAGACTCCAGTGAATTTTGGTAAATAATTACTAGTGCATTTGCGATTTTCCCCATCACCTCTTTTAGTACCCTGGGATGCATTTCATCAGGGCCAGGAGACTTGTCTACCTTTAGCCCCATTAGCTTGCCCAGCACTGCCTCCTTAGTGATAATGATAGTTTCTAGGTCCTCACCTGCTGTAACCTTCTTGCTATTAGTTTTCAGCATGTTATTTGTGTCTTCCGCTGTGAAGACCGACACAAAATAACTGTTTAATGCCTCGGCTATTTCCTCATTCCCAGTTATTAAATTGGCCTTCTCATCGTCTAAAGGACCAATGTTTACCTTCACCACTCTTTTACCATTTACATATTTATAGAAACTTTTGCTGCCTGTTTTTATATTCTGAGCTAGTTTACTGTCATAATGTATCTTACTTTTCTTTATAACTTTTTTTTGTGGCTTTCTGTTGGCCTTTAAAGATTTCCCAGTCTACTAGTTTCCCACTACTCTTTGCTTTTTTGTATGTGTTTTTTTTTCCAATCTGATACTTTCCTTTATTTCCTTAGACATCCATGGCTGGCTCTCTCTTTTCCTACAGTTCTTCCTTATCACTGGAATATACATCTGCTGAGCACTGTGAAAAATCGTTTTGAAAGTCCTCCACTGTTCCTCAATTGACCCACCATAAAGTTTTTGCTCCCATTCTACCTTAGCTAACTCCTTCCTCATTCCTTCATAGTCTCCTTTGTTTAAGCACAGGACATAAGTACTGAATTTAACTTTCTCACGCTCCATCTGTATTTTAAATTCGACCATACTGTGATCGCTCCTTCCGAGAGGATCCCTAACTGTGAGATCATTAATTATTCCTGTCTCATTACACAGGACTAGATCTAGGATAGCTTGCTCCTTCGTAGGTTCCATTACATATTGTTCAAGGAAATTATCGCGGATGCATTCTATGAACCCCTCCTCAAGGCTGCCATGACCGACCTGGTTTGACCAATCGATATGTAGATTAAAATCCCCCATGATAATTGCTGTACCATTTTTACATGCATTAGCTATTTCTATGTTTATTGCCCACCCCACCATGGTGTCATTATTTGGTGGCCTATAGACCACACCTATCAGTGACTTCTTCTCCCTGCTATTCCTAATTTTCACCCAAATGGATTCAACGTTTTGTTCAGTAGAACCTATCTCTCGCTACCGCACTTCGGGTGTCTAATGAGTTTTAGAACCGAAGATTGAAGGAGAGCAAATTTGTAGACAAGTTGCATAAAGCTGTATGAACTATTAAATAGTGATAGTGGTACTTTTTCGATCAGTATGTTTTCAGTCTGGTGAGGCAGGAGGAGTTGCTAGAACTACTCTGAGGAATAAGGTGTGTCAAGTAGAACATGTTTCAGTAGAAGAGCTTTTGAGGATCAATGATTGACACTGATTAGAAATAAAGTTACTGCAGGGGCTGGAAATCTGGTATAATAACAGAAAATGCTGGAGATACTCAGGAATGGCAGTATCGGAGGAGAGAGAGAGAGTTAAAGTTTGTGACAAAGGGCATTGCCCTCAAATGTTAAGATTGTTTATCTCTCCAGTGTTTATGATCTAATGGTTATGGAAAAAAGACCAAAGAAAATGTTAAAACTAAAAGATTGGATTAGAACGAGTTGCAGTGTGTTGAAGTCATCAGAAAAGAGAGCTTTGTGCAATCGTGACACATTTCCAAGAGGAGGATAAATTAAAATATTGGCATTGCAATGAGACATAAAAAGAAGCCTATGTCAGTGAGATATTCATTACACAGTAAAGAATAAAATTGAATAATTAAGAGGCAATTTAAAGAACGGGATAAGAGAGTGAATCAGAGTATGAGAATAGGTTAGTGCCTAATGTCACAGACTAAAGGGAATGTGGTGAATTTAAACTGATCGCTTATCTCTCAAGCCAGAGACAGTTATTTGATTTATTCTTATCTCTCTTTATTTTCACCCACCTGGCTTGAATTCCAATTTTTGAAATAAACCCACAGCAAAAACCTTTAAGAGGAAATCTAAAATAGAATTTACTAACAATACATTCAGAACATGGGGGGGTTGCTCCACTTCTGCATTCATTTACACATACGTTCAGGAAATAAAAGAAAATAAGACTCAAAATGAGGTAGATAATAAGTTCTGGTAAATCCAGAGCGTTTTAAAACTCAGTTCATTTGAGTTATAAATTCCTGGAGGTAAATTCAGTAATTCTTGGTGAGCTGGTGTTCCGTCTAGCAGGCAATGTATAGGCTTCTTTCTAGCTTGGAGTCAGAAATGATGGGTTCAGGGCTGGCTACCAGCTCACCCTGGAATCCTCCTGTCCCTTGAGGCCAACTCGCAACCGACTTAGAAATCCAGAATTGTATTAAGTAATTATACAATCCCTGCAGTGTGGAGAGGGGCCATTCAGCCCATTCAGTCTGTAAGAACCCTCCAAAGAGCATGGGTGAAGCAAAAACTGCGCAATTACTGACCAGTTAGACTAATGTCAGTGACAGTCTGTGACAAAATTAATGCAATGTGGAGAAATGAGCAAATAACTGCAAATCTGCATAGATTAATGTTGATTTTGGGTAAATTGTGGTTGTCTAACTTGATTGAGATCTTCATTGCATTAACAGGCATATGAATGAGAGTAATACAGTTGATGTCGTATAAATTTGGAAATTAACTTTCAAAAAGCATTTGCTAAAGAACTATATAATAAACTTTTAGTTAAATTAAAGCCCCTGGAATTGAAAGAAAGTGGCAGCATAGATGCAAAATTAGTGAATGGAGAAAAATTGAATATGGGGTGCATGGTTGGTTCTGGAGTGGAAAGAAATATCCTGTCGTGTTCTCTGGCATTAGTATCTGTACCATGTTCTTTTTGATACATGTTAATGACCTCACCTTGGATGTATAAGGGAGAATTTCAAGATTTGCGAATAAAGCAAGATTGCAAATGTAGGAGAGAAATAATCTTCTATAGGATGTACGCTGATAAAATGGGTAGACACATGGCAGATTAATTTGAATGTAGAGAAGCAAAGTGATACTTTTTGGTAGGGGAATGAAGGAGGGGGTGCCATATAAGCTAAATATAACTTTTAAGTGGGTGCCAGGACAGAGACCTTGGATATGTATGTACACAGATCTTTGGAACAGCAGAACAAGTTGAGAAACTGCTTTAAAAAGAAATGTGGGGCTTTTGATTTTAATAATTTGATAAAGGCATGGAGTACCTGCAGTAACAAAATAATGCCAAGAATTTGTATTAGGTTTTTAAAATCCCTGTTACAGTATTATGTTACACTGTAGGAATGAAAGAGATCTTAGAAAAAGTGCAGGGAGATTTACTAAAATGGCACAAGGGCTAAGAAACTTGATTGTACAGAAAGTAGAGAAGTTGTTTGCAGTTAACACCCTATTCCTGCTTTCCATCACTTGACTTAATTGCCTTTTACTGAGAGAGTTGTAGGTTTACTCAGCTTTAATTGGGAAGACTGAACTCATTGCCTCAGTTACATTTGCTGTCTTAACCAAATGATTTGCAAGTTAGAGGATAAGGCTTTTTAATTTAAAGTAGCAATGGTTTTGAACAGTGATCCAGAGCTTTTGGGGAGGGGTGGGGGCTAGCGGTGGCTGTGTGTGTGTGTGGTGGTGAGGTCTGGCACTCTCAAGCAAACCAGTACTCTTGAGTGCTGATCCCACCCACTCAAGGTGATAGCTGCTGGTTGCGTGGTTCCTTTCTGACCAAGTATTAATGACCATGACACTGTGGTTCAAATGTGGACCAACTGAGGATGGGCTTTAAATATGGCCTTTCTATAGTTGCCCACCGGCTGAGAATGAATGAGAAAGGCTAGCTGAGGATTACCATCATCTGATCATTTATTGAACTTCTGTTATAGGCAAAGGTGGCCATCAGAGAGCTTTTACCAAACGGTCTGCGAGAGTCGATCAGTAAAGTGCGTTCAAGTGTAGCCTATGCTATATCGGCAATAGCTTACTGGGATTGGCCTGAGGCATGGCCAGAGCTCTTCCAACTATTGATGGAGATGCTGATTAGCGGTGATGTGAATGCAGTGCACGGGGCAATGCGAGTGCTCACAGGTATGATTAATGGGAAGTCTTTTCAGAACCCTCATTGTTTTAAGCAGGCTGCCATAATTCAGGAAGGAGAAACTGGGTCTGTTTTTGCGACCTGATACCTCTTTGTTTCCTCTGCAGAATTCACCCGAGAAGTGACAGACACACAGATGCCACTTGTGGCTCCTGTAATTTTGCCAGAAATGTATAAGATTTTTACAATGGCTGAGGTGAGTGACCAGAGACAGCAGTTGTTCTTTTGGGTTCCCAGAACTATCAAAAATGCCAGGTCAGAGAAACCTTCTTCCAAAACCAGTTGAAGTTCTAATTTCTATATATTAAAGGGTAATTTTTTAAATCCCCCATAGGACGTGGACAATGCTGACTAGGCCAGCATTTGTTGCCCAACCATAACAGCCTTGGAAAGGTGATGAACAGCATTCTTGAACTGCTATTGTCCACGTGTAGATACACCACTGTGCTATTAGGAAGGGCATTCTGGGATTTTGATGCTGCTACATTACCCAGTATTGGGCTACAGGTTGAATGTGGTAAGATATCCCTCGATGTTTAATTTTGCCCAATAACCTGAGTCTGACCGCATCTTTAAAACTTTCTGAACTTCATTGTTTATGGAGAAGAAAAATGGCGACAAATACCCATCAGAAAAGCCAGTATAGCTACTCGGTTAGCTGCAAATCAAATGACATTTAGTTTTCCAGCTGGCAGGTTCAGATGTGCAAGTGAACTGTCACTTAGCCTTCAACCATCCTATTCTGACATGACTCCCTTTTTAAGACAAAAACAGAAATTGCTGGAGGCACTCAACAAGTCTGACAGCATCTGTGGAGAGAAAACCGAGAAAGTGTTTTGAGTCTGGTGACCCTTCATTCAGGATTTTGTGCACTTCAGTTAAATTGGCCCTCGCTCTTCTAATCTCCTGTGGAATAAATGGAGTTTGACTTATGAAGATATATTTGACAACACACTCATTCCAGGCTTCAACTTTGTAAACCTCTGAATTGCATCCAATTCATTTACATTCTTTCCTAAATATGGAGACTAAAACTGCACACAGTATTTGAGATGCGGTCTCATCAATGCCTCGTATAACTGAAGCATAATATCTTTATCTTTCAGTTCCTCTCATACTAAAGGGTAGTAGTTCATTAGATTTCTTGATTTCAAACTCCATATGCATACTGACCTTTTGTGACTCATAGACTAGTATGCCAGAGTCCTCCATACCTCAGAATTCTGCGATTATCCTCTGTTTAAATATTCTTGTGCTTTTTCATTCATTCTTCCTATCAAAGTGAACAGTTTCACATTTTCCACATTATACGCCCTCTGCCAAATTTTTGCCCACTCGCTCAACTGATCTATATTCATCTGTGATATACGCAAAAGCTTTTTCTCACAGCAGGTGGTTCGAGTGCATTGCCTGGAAGTTTGGAAGTAGTTTCAATCAAATCATTCAAGAGGCTATGAGATGATAATTTGAATAGAAACATTGTGTAAGGTAACGAATTGGACAGTTGGTTGCCTTTGAGTCATAATGCTCATTTGGAGAGCTGGTGAGAACACAATGGACCAAATGTACCGTAACAATTTCACAACATACTTCCCTACCAGTTTTGTGTCATCTGCAAATATAGCTACCATGCCTTTGTTCCCCTCATCAAAATAATTGATGCAAATTGTGAAACGCTGATGGCTCAGCACAGACCCCTGCAGGACCGCTCTTATCACATCCCACCAGTTAGACAAAGACCCGTTTATGCATGCTTTTTGCCAACCAACCATCCAGCCGTTTTGCTGTCCTTGCTAACATGCTGCTACATGTATTAGAACTTTTATTTTCGTCAATAACCTTTTGTGTTGCACCTTATCATATGCCTTCTGGAAACCCATATCTACAGGCTCACCTTTATCTACAGCGCATGTACAACTTCAAAGATGTCTCATAAATTAGTAAAACATGATTTTCTTCTTTCACAAACCATGCTGACTTCTTGCTTACCTGGTGTATTGTTAAGTGCCCAGCTATTATCCTTTTAATATAAACACAGAATTCTGAAGAAACTCCGGTTTGGTAGCATCTGTGGAGAGAGAAACCGAGCTAATGTTTCAGATCTGGTACAATATCTCTTCAGCACTGCTTTTGTTGCGAAGTTGATATAGTACTTGTGGTTTGAAAGGCAGGACATTAGAATTTGTTTGTAAAATGATAGCGGGGAAGAGTGCGTGGTCCCCTTAAAAGATTTTTTTAAGGCTTCAAGATTAAAAATAATGTCTGCAGGCAGCAGCAGATGCACCGAGAGTTCTTGAATTGAAACATTCTATCAAAAGGCTATACTGTTAGCAGGCAAAGCAGCATTTTTACCAAGACAACAGGTTTTTGAATTTAGCCAATTAATTTAAATCAGGTCCTGGATACCAAAGCCCAGTTAAATTTAAATCTGATGGTTTTGACAACGTTGGACCAATCTAACTATATGAAATTAATAGGTCATAGAGGGCATTTGAAAATCAAGGTGATGGCAAACTGCCAACTGTTAAGAGAACTGCTCTCAACAGCCATCAGCTCTAAAGAAAGAGAAAATCGCAGAAATCTCTAGAATCTCAGAGTAAGCACCATGTAAATATAGCTACTATGGTACCTCTTAGCTAATATTCCTGACAGAAGAATTTGACAGAGGAACGTGTTTCTGACCGGAGGACAGCGGAGAAGGCAAAGAACATTTTGGAAGACTTATCCTAGCTGTAATTTTGAGAGATTAAGCTTTAATTTTGTTTTAACTCATTTGGTTTATGTAAGTGGGATTCGTACCTATTGGAACAGCATACCATTACAATTTTGTTTTATTCAGGAATAGTTTGTCTTAAGGGGGAATTGTTCGGTTTGTTAGTAGTTCTGTTAATTTGTTCACTGTTAGAGTTAGGTAAATAGTTACTTGTTGATTACAAAGTGGATATTAGGGATTTCTTTCACTTAACCTCCCCTCCTTGATTGTAGAGTGACTGTCAGGAGTTCATTTCATTTAAACTCTCCTTTATAACAGATTGGGTGGTCAAGTCTGGGATCTGGCTGGTTCGTGTACGGGATCTGAACAAATTTGGACAGATTTGAGCACATTTGGTGTACGAAAGGTCCCAGTAGATTTAAACAGACATGGGGATTGGTGTCTTAGATCTTTAAATAAAACTTAGGTGAGAAGTGGAAAATCTGTTTAATTTCAGTGACTTGTAGTTGGTTAAATCAAAAGTGGAGGCAATGGCTATTAAAATTGCTAAAGATGTTCTGGGGTTTGAGGATGCTTCCCAAATTTGCCCAGGAAGTTTAGAGAAACAGAGGAAGGATGTACTTTTAGACATGGCAAACAAGCTTTTTTCCTTTCATCGTTAACGGGATGAGGGCGTCGCTGTCTAAGCAGCATTTATTGCCCGTCCCTAATTGCCCAGAGGGCGGTTGAGAGGCAACCGTGTTGCTGTGTATCTGGAGTCACATGTAGGCCAGACCAGGTAAGGATGGCAGTTTCCTTCCCTAAAGGACATTAGTGAATCAGATGGGTTTTTCCGACAATCAACAGTGGATTCACCAGTCGTCATTAGATTCTTAATTCCATATATTTATTGAATTCAGCTTCCCCCATCTGTTGTGGTGGCATTCAAACCTGGGTCCCCAGAATGTTATCTGGGTCTCTGGATTAACAGTCCAGCAATAATACCACTAGGCCATTGCCTCCCCTGAGGGGCAAGAAGAAAACTGAAATTGTAAAGGAGTTAGTCAAGCATTTAGGTATACCAGAGAAACAGGAAAGTGCAGTGGAGTTAGAAAAAAATTAAATTGAAAATTTGACAATTGTAGTTAGAAGACAAAGAAAAGAATGTTTGTATTGAAAAGATGAAGTTGGAACCTGAAGTAAAAAGACTTTAAATGACAGTAGTAAAAGTACAAGATAGAACATTTAAAAGGCATCTGGATGGGTACATGAATAAGAAAGGTAAATGGAAATGGACCAAATGCTGGTAAATGGGACTAGGTCAAATTGGGATATCTGGTTGGCGCAGATGAGTGGATCAAAGGGTCTGTTTCTGTACTGTATGACTCGATCAGTCATCTCACAGTTGATGGCATTGTGATTGTACCTAGTCAAAGACTACTGTTGTTTAAGAAGGTGCTGACCTTCTCGAGCGCAACTAGCGATGGGCAATAAACATGTCGCTGTACATCAGCTTCAGCTCAAGATATTTGCCTTTTTCCTGGATTGTGGCTTTCCCTACCTTTGTCGCTATATTGTGTATTATCTGTTTTAAATGAGAGATTATGATGCAGGATCTTATTGCTCATGTGTGAATACTACCAACAGAGCCACAGCTAACATTACCCTGAGCATCTCCTGCAGTGATGCCCTGATTGACCTTCGACAATCACAGATATCTTTCTTTCCAGTATGCTTCACCTAGTGGAGAGTTTTCCCAATTCCATTTTTACTAGTGCATATTGCATACCCATATCTTACTTAGACTCTAGAGTTCAGCTCTTTTGTACACGTTTAGAGCAAGGCTGTAATCAGGTCAGGAGATGTGTAGTTCTAATGGAACCAGATGAGAAGGATGATCAGAGAAAGACAAGTAATACAGTCACAAACAAATCCAGTTACTAAAACATATATGACTTATTTTGAAAAATAAAATGCTTGGAACAATTAGCGGAAATGAATTATATTATCTGTACAGCAGTGTGCTATCATGAATTCAGACAAAGACTTTCCAACAATTCATCTGTTGTAACTGACACGTGTTTAGAAACTTAAGATGTTAATTACTGTTTGTTTCAATAGGTTTATAGTATTCGAACTAGAGCACGTGCAGTGGAGATCTTCACCACATGTGCCAACCTTATCTGTGCGATTGAGGAGGTTGAGAAGGTAAGTGAAAGGCTTAATGTTGAAATAAAAAGCATTAGGCATGTTGGGCCAATTGCTTTTAAATAACCAACATCCTACCTCAATTGTGAACTCTCTACTCCTCCATCTCTCCTGGAGCTCAACTGTCCTCCAAGTCACCAGGTGAGTCCAATCAATCTGCGGATTCAATTCGTTTTCTTAATCAAGATTGTTACAGGTCCTGTGTCATGGGCTTGTGCTGTTCATTGTCTGAATATATCATGCTGGCAATAATACATATGTATCTGTCCTGTGTATTTATACACATTTATATATATGCATGCGTTTATGATAGATACGTTTTTAAGGTAGTAATAATTTAACGGGCAGTGGTCATCATTTCTACTGTGGAAACTGATATCTGCCCATATGCAGTTAAGCTGTGGAAATGCACTGTTGCTGTCAATAATTTTATGCTGCTGTCTAGACTGTGCTGTTGAAGTACCTACGCAGCTCTGAAAACTACAGTCCATTAGCAACCATTGAACTGATCAGATTTTCTGTTCTAACACTGTTGTTGTGGAAGCTCTTTGAACAAATTACACCTTGTTTAAAAAGGTGTAATTTTATTTAGCCATAATTATGAACTTTAAACAGCCTTCCTGATCGATGACTTTTTCCCAAGTTTGCTATTTTATCTCATACCTTAATCCATATGTAAACCCCAATAATTTACTGAATCTCTAAAATTGAAGAAAAAAAGATTCTGTCTGTTTTACTTTGTGGGTCATTGTCTGAGAGAATACTTCAAACAGGATAAGTACCATTCTATTTGATCCTGATATTTGTTATTGGACACTTGCAATTCCACTTGACTTGTCGTCAAGTTCAGACTGACGTGGGGAAAGCTGAAATCCATACTTCAGACATGGCTTGATCTTGGTGCACCATGTTGAGGACAGCATCAAGCATTGTTGCTTCATTGATATTCACAAAATCAAGCCAGATTGTTATTTATCTGCATTATATGGACGGGATATACATACGCCTGTGCTCTACTGTTCTATGTAACATACATACACACAGCACAGCAAAGGCCCTTTGGCCCACAATGTTGTGCTGAATTTTTACCCTAAACCTAAGGTCTATCGAACCTCCACCCCTACCTTATACTATCATCCATATGCCTATCTAATAGCCGCTTAAATGCCCCTAATGAGGCCGACTCCACTACCCTCTCCGGCAATGCATTCCACACCCCTATCACTCTGAGTAAAGAACCTAACTCTTGACGTCTCCCCTACATCTACCTCCACTCACTTTAAAACTATGCCCCCTTGTAATAGCTACCTCCACCCTAGGAAAAAGTCTCTGGCTGTCCACTCGGTCTATACCTCTGATCATTTTGTATACCTCTATCAAGTCACCTCTCATCCTTCTTCGTTCTAAAGAGAAAAGCCCTAGCTCTCTCAACCTTCCCTCCATTTCAGGCAACATCCTGGTAAATCTCCTCTGCACCTTTTCCAATGCCTCCACGTCTTTCCTGTAATGAGGCGACCAGAACTGGACACAATACTCCAGATGTGGCCGAACCAGGCTTTTGTATAGCTGGAGCATAACTTCACGGGTCTTGAACTCAATCCCTCTATTAATGAAAGCTGACACACCATATATCTTCTTAATAACTCTATCCACCTGGGTGGCAGCTTTCAGGGAAATGTGGACATGAACCCCAAGATCCCTCTGCCCCTCCATACTGCTAAGAATCTTTCCGTTAACCTGTATCCTGCTTTCAAATTTGTCCTTCCAAAATGAATCACCTCACGCTTTTCAGGGTTAAACTCCATCTGCCACTACTCAGCCCAGCTCTGCATCCTATCAATGCCCCTTTGAAACCTAGAACAGCCCTCTGCACTACCCACAATGCGACCCACAATGCGACCCACCTTCGTATCGTCCGCAAACTTATTAACCCACCCTTCCACTCCTACATCCAAATCATTTACAAAAATCACAAATAGAAGAGGACCCAGAACAGATCCTTGTGGTACACCACTCGTAACTGAGCACCATGTTGAATATTTTCCGTCCACCACCACCCTTTGTTTTCTAAGGGTCAGCCAATTCTGAATCCAGTCTGCCACATTTCCCCCTATCCCATGCCTTCTTACTTTCTGCATGAGCCTACCATAGGGAACTTTATCAAACGCCTTACTTGAATCCATGTATACCACATCGACTGCTCTACCTTCATCCATGTGTTTGGTCACCTCTTCAAAGCATTCAATAAGACTTGTGAGGCATGATCTACCCCTCACAAATCCATGCTGACTATCACGAATCAAACTGTGCCTATCCAAGTGATCATAAATCCTGTCTCTCAGAGCCCTTTCCAATAATTTGCCCACCACTGAAGTAAGACTAACTAGCCTGTAATTTCCGGGGTTATCCCTATTCCCTTTTTTGAACAAGGGAATGATGTTTGCCTCTCTCCAATCTTCCGGCACTATACCCGTGGACAGGGAGCATGAAAAGATCATCGCCAAAGGCCCTGCGATCTCTTCCCTCGCTTCCCATAGAATCCTTGGATAAATCCTATCTGGCCCGGGGGACTTATCTATCTTCAAGTTCCTCAAAATTCCTAGTACATCTTTCTTACTGACATCGACCTCCTCTAGCCTACCAGCCTGTTTCACACTGTCCGCCTTTACAACTAGGCCCCTCTCAGTTGTGAATGCTGAAGAAAGGTATTCATTAAGGACCTCTCCTATCTCTTTAGGCTCCGTGCACAAATTCCCTTTACAATCTTTGATCGGCCCTACCCTTTCTCTGGTTATTCTCTTATTCCTCACGTACGTGTAAAAAGCCTTGGAGTTTTCCTTGATCCTATCTGCCAAGGTTTTCTCATGCCCCCTTATAGCTCTCCGAAGCCCTTTCTTCAGCTTCTTATTCCTCTCGAGCCTTTTCCGTTCCTTGTTTCCTAAACATTATATAAGCATCCTTCTTCCTCTTAACCAGTTGTTCGACCTCTCTTGAGAACCAAGGCTCCGTCACTTGACCGCATCTTCCCTGCCTGCTAGGGACAAACATATCGAGCGCACACAGTACGCATTCCTTAAACAATTTCCACATTTCAATTGTGCTCTTCCCTGACAGCATCTGTTCCCATTTTATGTTACCCAGTTCTTGCCTAACAGAATTGTAATTACCCTTCCCCCAATTATAAACCTTACCCTGCTGTATGTACCTATCCTTTTCCATGACTATTGTAAAAGTAAGAGTTATGATTGCTACCGCCAAAATGCTGTCCTACCCACAGGTCTAACACTTGGCCCGGTTCATTGCCAAGCACCAAATGCAAAGTGGCCTCTCCTCATGTTGGTCTATCTACATACTATGTCAGGAATCCTTCCTGAATGCACTGTTCAAAATCCGCTCCATCTAAACTATTAGAACTAAAAAGTTTCCAATCAATATTTGGAAAGTTGAAGTCACCCATTACTACAACCCTCTGACTTCTACACCTTTCCAGTGTCTACCTCCCAATCTGCTCCTCCACTTCTCTGCAACTATTAGGGGGTCTGTAAAAAAAAAAAAAACCCCAACAAAGTGACTGCTCCTTTCTTGTTCCTGACCTCAACCCAAACTGACTTTGTAGACATATCATTATCGAACTGCCTTTCGGGAGCTGCTATATTAGCCCTGACTCGCAATGCCACTCAGCCGCCTCTTTTACCACCCTCCCTATTTCTTTTAAAACATCTAAATCCCGGAACTTCCAACAGCCATTCCTGTCCCTGAGTTACCCAAGTTTCTGTAATGGCCACAGCATTGTAGTTCCAAGTACTGACCCATGCTCTAAGTTCATCCGCCTTATTTCTGATACTTCTAACATTGAAGTATACACACCTCAAACCATCCCTGTGTCCACAATTACGCTCCATCGACTGCATTTCTTTATTAACAACCTCACTCCCTGTTGTGTCTGTTGGAAGGCTGAATACCTCATCCTCTGAATTACAAATCCGGTTGGTGGCATTCATTGCCCAACTATATTATTGTGTGATAGGTATGTATGTGAATGATATATCTATGCCGATATTTGGCTGTACCAATAATAGGAGTGTGATAGATATATAAACTTGAGAGTTATATGTATGAAATATACATTTGTGATGTTCTGGTGCAATAGCATCTGTCCATAATTGCAAATGCATATACATACATGCATGTGTGACTTACAAACAGGTGTTATGTTTGAGTACATTTGCAAACACAAGCATGAGTTGTATAAGCATCTAGTATCCATGGGCTGTATGTGCATTGGAGAGCATATATGCTCCATATGTATCCCCCTTGCCTGCTGGCCAATGGAAGTGCACTGTGAATGTTGCCTGGAGGGATATGCTGACCGTATGAGTTATATCTGAAGCAAAAACCAAAATTGCTGGAAAATCTCAGTAGGTCCTGCAACATCTGTGGACAGAAATCAGAGTTAACATTTCGGATCTAGACACCCTTCAGAATTGTATCTGAAGGCTATTTCTGTACATCCTTCAGGGTGCGGCTAAGGCATTGATCTTTCCTGTGGTGCAACAGTTCACAGAGGCGTTTGTACAAGCCTTGCAGATGCCTGATGGCCCAAGCTCAGATAGTGGGCTGAAGATGGAAGTTCTGAAGGTGAGTACTGTGGGCAATGAGGCAGCACATGAAATTTGAGCTGGCAGTTTGGGCCCTTAAAACCAACTAATCTTCAGTTTTAGTCATGGAAGTGGAAGTATTGAGTCATTTATGCTCTTTTTGAGGAGCAGTGCACAATTCAAGTGCTGAAGCGAGCACTGGCACCTGCAAATCCACAGATGATAGTTGTTCTGAGTGACAGTCACCTACTCTCAGCCTCCCTGAGAGACTGACTTCTCCTCCCAATTCTGTTATAGACGGTGGCTGTCTCGATCCCGGATCTCAATTCTCCTATTACAACAGCGACATCTGCACCTGCAGTTTGTGTGTATATAAAAATGTGGTAGCCTCTAAGCCTTGCTTTTGTTTTTCTTTGTGTTACAAAAGTAGTCCTGGTTTGTACTTCTAATTCTACTGTTACAGACAGAGACAACTTTACTTTGCTTCTGATTGTGGCTGTATTGCAGATAGTGATGACCCTGTTTTGAATCTCTGTGTTAACACACTATTGATCCTAACTCCCATCTTTAATTCTTTCTCTTGCAGGCAGTTACAGCACTGGTGAAGAATTTTCCAAAGCACATGGTTTCGTCTATGCAGCAGATTTTGCCAATTGTGTGGAGTACACTAACTGAGAGTGCAACAGTATATCCTTCGCATTGCTCAACTACCTGACTCCTGAGTTATGTGTCAGCAATGTGGGAATAAGAAATGCTTGCATTTTTGTAAGCATCAGACATCTCAAAGCATTTCAGAACCAGTATTTTTGAAGGGTAGTCACTGTTTTTGTAGGCAAAGCAGTGGTTAGTTTGCGTACATCACATTTTTGGGAGTCTGTTAATGATCAGATGTAGTAAGATGTGATCTGACTGTTGAGTGAGCAGCAACAGACTATTGGATATGACTATATTCAGAGGATTGTACGAGAATATCTTGCTTGGAGCCCTACACAGCTACAGATGTCACCATTACATAGCTTCTTTTGTATATGCTCAGTAACCATATCCAGTATAAGGGTATAATCCTCTGCCTGTTTCCCCTAGGTTCTTTTACAGTGCCTTTTTTTGTCAGAAACATTTACTCCACTTCATCCCTACCCCACCCAAAAGTTATCTTGTGCTTGAGGGACTAATCTCCATCGACATTCTTGGCTCTCTGAGAGAGCATGGAGGATATATTTCCTCTGCTGGCTTCCTGAGAGGAGTAACACATTAGTGTAGTGAAATGGCAGCAGCTTGTCTTGGGCTGTGACCCATACAAAGACTTCAATGTAGCAGCAGTTGAAAAAAATCAAGGAAAAATTGTTCAAAGGAGAGTGCTCCAGAATTTATATGACGTCAGCATCTTGAAAAGGAAGACCAGGAAGTGAATATTTTGTTCCCTTTTAGTCTGCTTTGCTTTCTAATCCAGGGATGAATGTAATAGATTGGAACACATGTAAGTCATTCTGAATGTCTTGCTGCAGGCAAGGAGATGCATGTTTTTTCACTGCATTTAAGATGGGAATTTCTAAGATGGTAATTGTGTCACCTTGGCATTTTGAGGTGCAAGCACAGGCATCTCCGTGTCCGTGAGAAAGAAATGACAAAGATCATAAACTCCCAAAAGTAGCACCGATAGGAAACTTGTGTAAAGTGCTGTGATTTGAGAGCTATGTGAAAGGATAGCCTCCATGCATAGGTTATCTCTCATTAAGAATGAAATGAAGATTTTTGTTCTCTTGCCCCACTTGCTTTTTGAAAGACTAGAACATTGCTCATTAGCTGGAGAAAAGTCTCTGCTACTGTCAATCATTCATGCTGATGCTGGAATCCTGAACATTCCTATAGTAAAGTAGCCTTTTTCTCCTTCAGAAGATCTTTCTTGTGCCACTTGTGGGAAATTTCTGAAGAAGGGTCCTGACCCAAAACACACACTTTCCTGCTCCTCTGATGCTGCCTGGCCTGCTGTGTTCCTCCAACGCCACACTGTGTTATCTCTGATTCCAGTATCTGCAGTTCTTGCTATCTCTGCCTTGTTCAGTTGATTTGCAGCTGGAATGGTTGATTTATTTCAAGATGCTGTAATGTAATGAAGAAGGAAAAGCTGTAGCATGAAGAAGTTAAAAAATGGCCTTTGTGACCTTGAGTCCATAGACGGTAAAGGTTATTGATGCAATGTAAAGATTTGAGGTAGAGTGACTTTGCTGTTTTCTTTAACATTAACACTTATGTGAGGACAGAAGTGAACTACATGGAAGAGGTGGATGACCCAGTGGATTCAGATGGTAAGTGTGAGCATCATAAAAGTATGTTTTATCTGTGCTAAGCACTGGGAAATGTTTGCTCCAACTTCAAATGGAAAAATGATAGGTTGGAATGCAAGTAAGAGCGAGGGATCTAACCAAACTAAAAGTCAGAGATATAAACCAGTAGGTAAGTTAAACCCCTTCATTTACAGATCAGTGTGACTATGGAATTCACTAGACAAAGAACAAAGTTAAATGGAAGTGGAAAAGCATGGGTAAGTATGATTAGAACTCTTTGTTTAATGGTTAGTAAATGCTGATACCAACAGATTAGGCTGAATGCTCTGTGGCTTTTATAGTCTTTGTGTATTTTTTGCCTGGGCTCATCAGTGAACTGGGGGAACCAGAAAAGGACCACTTCAGTGAAAGTAGAGGGGGAATCAATGGGAAACGGATCAAGAAGTATTTTTTAATTCATTCATGAGATGTGAGCATCACTAACTGGTCCATCCCTAATTGTCCAGAGGGCAGTTAAGAGTGTACCACATTGCTTTAGGTCTGGAGTTACATGTAGGCTCAACCAGGTAAGGATGGTAGTTTCCTTCCCTAAAGGACATTAGTGAACCAGATGGGTTTTTCCTGACAATCAGCAATGATTTGATGGTCATCATTTAAACTCTTGTTTCCAGATTATTATTGATTTCAAATTCCACTATCTGTCATGGTGGGATTCGATCTCAGGTCCCTAGAACATTACCTAGATCTCTGGATAAATAGCCTAGCAATAATATCACTAGGCCATTACCTATCCTTATTTGAAGGGGTTGAAGCTGATGTTGGGTTTGGTATGTTATTATGCCATCTGGAATTGCCTGTGGTGTTTAGTGTCGTGGATGAGTTAGCCATCACTGACCTTTCCTGTTGCAGTCGGAACTATCTGACAATCTGCAGCGTTGACCGTGCTGTAATTGGTGTATTGTGTACTTGATTTTGTCTTACTGCTTTCTGAATAATTGACACTGATGGAACAGGAAGTTGAGTGATCTGTTTGTTTCGCCCTTTAAGGTGAGGTATTGGGGTTTGAGAACTTGGTGTTCAATATTTTTGAATTTGTACACACACTGCTGGAGAACAGGAAGTTTAAGAGCACCGTAAAGAAGGCCCTACCTGAGCTGATCTACTACATCATCCTGTACATGCAAATCACCGAGGAGCAGGTATGGCTTCTTTTCTTGTACTGCACTCTACAACTAGATTCACAACTAAATGTACACACCGGGCACTAAATTGTGAATAATAACAAATGTTCAATGATCTGCGTGTGTTTATATCAGACACGGTGCTGTTTAGCCTTGGGAGATTATCATGATATTTTTATCTTCGGGAAAATTTGATGTCTGGCTCCTGTCTGGAGAACGTACGTTTTAGTCAGTGTTATTTATTGACAGTCAGGTGCACCACTTGAAAACAAACCTGGCCATCCCATAATGTATCTCCTGTAATGATATTAAAACCTGTACAATGAAGGCAGAAATAGTTGAAAAGGCTTGCTGTGCTTTATTTTCTCATCCTTCCCTTCCTATCCCCTCTTACAGGCTAGATCTTCATTGAACAGCTCAGAAATGTGTTGTCTTGTGTTTTGCTGAACTGTTTATTTTGAACTAAGATTTGGTGAGGGACTGGGTGTATGGCTGTTTTATTGGCTCTGAGATTGAGTCAGTCGTGCATGTTTTTTCTCTCTGCAGATTAAGATTTGGACAGGAAATCCTCATCAGTTTGTGGAGGACGAGGATGATGACACCTTCTCGTATTCTGTGCGGATCTCTGCCCAGGATCTCCTGCTGGTGAGGGGCAGTTGTTTGCTGTGACCACTAATTCTCATTTGACTCTAGAACTGCTGGAATAAAGTCATCAGTGTAATTGTGCTGTTCTGTGAAAGCTGCTCTGTTCAACAAATTATCATTTCACATCCCTGTGTTTGGATTGACCTGAACAAGGTTGGTGGGTGAGGACTCAGCTCTTCTATTCTTAGTTGGCAAGGTGAGCAGTGTGTGTTTGTGTGGGTGTTTGAGGTGGCAAAATCCTGGCCTGTCCAGAGAGGTTGGGGCAGAGTCTGACCCAGCCCTCCGTAGTGCTGGGAGATGCAAGGGGTAGTTCTGGCGTGGTGAAGGACTGGTATGGATTGGTGGAGTCCTGACACACCCCTGCTGTAGGAGTGCAGATCTGGCCTGGGGATGTTGAGCAATAGCCTCTTTTTCTTTCTTCCAGGGAGCTAACAGTTTCTGATTCCTTACTGCAGGCTGTTGCAAGTGACTTCCAGAGTGAGAGTGCCATTGCCTTAGCAGCAGCTGCGACCAAACACCTGCAGGAAGCAGAACAGGCCAAGAGTGATGGGAATGTGCATTGGTACGAAAATTAACTGTGCATATCATGGTGCATTCTCCGTTAGGTGGGATCAGATGATTGCCTTTGTCTATTGGTAACCTGATGATACCATTTTAGCCCATTGACTCTGGTCAGCCATTAGTGCTGTTTATAGAAGAGAGTTCTAAGCTAGTTTAATCGTTTGTGTGTGTGTTCCTACCTTCACTCCTGAAAGGTCTGATTACAATTTTTAGACTGTATCCCCAAATCTTAGACTCCCCAACTAACAGGAATTGATTCTTGCTGTCTGTCATGCCTGTTACCCTTGATGTCTTGAAAACGTTGATCAAATAACCCCTTAAGTTAACCTTTTCAATTCTAGGGAATGGAATCTAGGTATTGTTCTGTTCAGTCTGCATTATGTTTGTTGAAAGGCTAGTACCTCCAGTGGGGTGACCGGATCTGCTCGCTGTGTATCGAGGTGTGATCAAGGCTTTGTGTAGCTTTTTCATGACTTTCTACTTCCTAGTATTCCAGTCCACTAGATATAAAGATCAGCCTCCTGTTAACCTTATGATTTTCTATACCTGTTCATTGTATTTTAATGAACTATGATCATGGACTTTAGGTCTCTTTGGTCTTGTACTGTTTCCAGCTTTTCACAATTTAGAAAATGCTGTGATCTATCCCATTTAGATCAAAAGTGAGGATGATTTCACACTTGCTACACTGAATCCTATTGCTGTTGCATTTATCTGTGCAATTTTGCTTTCATCTATAGTGGTGTGTCATATAGTGTCAGTTGTGTGACATCAAACTAGGATATGTGGCATCTTATCCTATCATCTAAGTGAATAAATACGCTGAATAGTTGAGGACACAAGGCTTACCTTTTACTGGCATTCTGCTTGTTGTCCCTAAATTCTGTTTACTGTAGTTCAGAGCTTGCTAACCAGGTCATCATTTACTTTCAACTCTATAAACTCCAACTGTACTTTGTCCTGCCCAGTATTTCAGCCAACTCTTCACAAATGAAAATTCAGTCACATTTGTCAAGCATGACAAATTCATGCTGACTCCCTCTAATCAGAAAATTTTCAATATCTTCGGTTATCCTAACTAATTGTACATTAGTAATTTTTTGAAAACAGATGTTGGGTTACCTGATGGTTTTCTCCCTTCAACCTTAAATAGAGGAATGACTTATCCAATTTTCCGATCTGATGGCATACTTCCTGAATATCGTTAGGAAATCTGTAATATTCTCATCTTTTTTAAAGCTTGCTGTGGACTCATTCATGTCTTTTATTTATTTCTTATTTTGCCTTTGTTAATTTTAGTAAGTCCCCTGTGCCTGATTAAATTTTATTTTCATGTGTTGTGTGGCGTGATACCATCTTCCTCTACTGTAAAACGTGCCGTTCAACATCTTCACTGTTTCTTTATTTTCGTTAACAGTTTCGCTGTTTAGGTCTTCAGTCAGTTCACATTGATTCTGATCTTCTTTATTTTCTTAACTGTTTAAAATAAAATCCTGTTAATTTTGACATCCGTGCAAGTCTGTTTATGTAGCTCGTGCTTAGTTTTGCAACCTTTGGTTCTTTATATCTTTCCCAGTCACCGAAGAGGGTTCTATATTTTTCTATTTTTATTTAATTTTAATGTCACTTTTACCTCTTTAGTTGTTAATGTTTATAGTTTATTTCTACCCATAATATCTTCATTGCCCTCTGCATGAATCACAAAAATTCAAGATCAGTGGGTATAAGGGAACGCAATTGGACTGTTGGCTTTTATTTCAAAGGGGATGGTGTATTAAAAAAAAAAGGGTGTTGTAGCTAAAACTATTCAAGGCACAAGTCGACCACATCTGGAATATTGTAAACACTTCTGACCCCCGAGTCTGAGAAAAGATAAACTGGCATTGAAGGCAATCCAGATTGGTCTCAGATATAGAAGTATTTTCTTGAGAAAAAGTTGAGTAGGTTGAGCTTACACTGATTGGTTTAGTTGAATGAAAAGCGACCTGATTGAAACAGGATTCATGAGAGAGTAGATGCGAAGAGGTTGTTTCTTGTCGTGGGAGAGTCAAGAACCAGGGAGCATATCTCAGAATAAGGAGGCACTCATTTACGATAGGACCCAGGGTTTTCTCTCTTGCCTTCATAGTGCTTATTATGAATTTCCCAGCCTCTGCCAGCACTGTTCAGTAACAGGTCCAGTGAAGCTTCTTCAGAACTTGAAGGGTTCTGAAGATGGGTCACTGGACTCAAAACATTGACAGTTTTCGCTCCCCAGATGCTGCCAGACCTGCTGAGTTTTTCTAGCAAATTGTGATTTTGTTGTTAATGTTTTGTGCTGTTGTTTAGACTCACCCTTGGGGAATTGACACTGACCTCTTTGTGGCAGGTGGAAGATTCATGAGGCTTGTATGTTGGCCCTCGGCTCTGTGAAGAACATAATCACTGAGAGTGTGAAGAATGGACGGATACAATTTGACATGCATGGATTCCTCACCAATGTCGTCCTTGTTGATCTCAACCTATCGGGTAGGATGCGACCCTGCAGTCTTACAAATCACCCAACCTACGTACGTGCAATCATGAGTTAGAAGCAGGAGTAGGGGCCATTTGGCCCTTCAAACCTGCTTCGTCCTTTGATAAGATCATGGTTGTTCTGACTCTGGACCCCACTTTCTTGCTTTATCCCATATCCTTTGACTTCCTTGTCAATCAAGAATATACCTAACTTGATAGCATTTAAAAATATACATTGAACTTGTTTCCACTGCTCTCTGGGGAAGAGGAGTCCACGGACTAACAACCTCCTGAGATGAAAACGTTCTCCTCATCTCCACTGAAAATAAGAGTGCCCTTATTTTGAAACTCTGTCTCCTAGTTCTAGCCTCTCCCAGTAGGAGGAACATCCTTTTCACACCTGGCTTTTACAAGTCCCCTCAGGATCATGAATGTCTCAATAAGATCAGCTTTCATTCTACAAAATTCAAATGGATACAAGCCCAACTTTATAAGTTAATTCTTCACTCATCCTAACAGTCAATTGGGTAAACTTTATTTGAACTGCTTTTAATACAGTTGTCTCCCTTAATTGAGGAAACCAAACTACACAAAGCTTTGCACAATTATAGCAAAGCTTTCCCAAATTTTATATTCCTATTCCCCTTGCAATAAACAACAATATTCCATTTGTCATCCTAATCACTTGCTGTATCTGCAGACTAACTTTTTGTGATTCATTTACTAGGGCACCCTGATTCCTCTATCTCAGAGTCTTGCAGTTTCCCTCAATTGAAATAATATGCTGCTTTTCTACTTTTCCTACTAAAGGGAACAAGTTCACATTTCCCCACATCATATTCCATCCATCAAGTTATTGCCCACTCAGTTAACCTGTTTATTACCGGACTTAGGACAGGTGCAACTACTGTGGCAAACGCAAGGAGCTGGGAGCATGTTGTCTACCCAGCTTAGGGAATTAGATCCCAACAGCTATATTTGTGAGCATTAATCCAATGGATAATAACAATATAAAACAAAGTTTAAATGCATAATCACAATGAAGTTGGAGAAAACCCAAAAGTAGATGAAGTGAATCAGGGACAAACACCTTCCAGTTGGGTTCAAGTCAGACCCAGGCATAGGAGACCAAGTATTGGTAGTCACAGGTGTAGGCAAGTCTGAACCTGACTCCATGGGCCAGACCGTAAACAATTCCCAGTTTGTTAGAATGTAGAGGGAGCATTACTGTTTATCTGACTCATACTGTAACTGCCCTGGGAATTTCTGGATAGTGTAGAAGTGTAGAAAATTTAGAGTACTGAAAGAAGCCAGTTAGCCCGTTGTGTCTGCACTGGATGGGAAAGAGCTATCCAGACTATCTCACCTTCCCAACTCTTGGTCCATAGCTATATGGCTCTTCAAGTGGATTTCCATTTTTGGATATGATGAGAATTTCTGTCTCTAGTTCCGCTTAGTCTGTGAGCTTTCAACACCCTCGGATGAAAATAAAACTGAACTATAATTGAATCTATAACTTACCTCTCGTGCTGTGGGAAATGCAGTGTTATGGGGATGGTGTGGGTTTGGATGGGATGCTCTTCAAGAGAGTCGGCATGGACTGGAGGGGCCAGGTGGCCTGCTTCTGCACTGTCAGGATTCTAGGTACTGGTCCCTGGTTGTTGAATGCTCTGTTAAGGAATGTTGAGATTTTCTGTCCACTGTGTGCTTGATCTTACACACCTCAATTAATCTCCCGTCAGTATTCTCTGTTCCAATGAAAACCTTGCAACCGATCCCGTATTTATTCAATGCTAATTTCTGATTTTTATCAAATCTCCACAGTGCACTGTGTGATGACAGCCTTCCTATAATATAGTGACCTTTGCTGTACCCAAATTTATTTTTCACTTCTCTATATAGAGTTGTATTTGCCACTTTTCTGCTCATTTGATCTATCCATTGATAGCTTTCTGCAGTCTACACCTGTCAAACTTCAATCTTATAAATTGGGGTGGGGGAGGGGAGCAGTGTTCAGAGTCATTAAACAATATGTGAAATAGTTTATGTGAATAAGTTCAGAGTTAAATTGCAATGTGTTTCCAAACAAATTTGAGTAATATGGTCAAATGCATATATTTCAACATGTCTATCACTTTAGTATTGCAGAATGATGTAATTGTCATGTGGGGCCTATAACTTAATCTCTTGTCTCCCTGTGCCTCCCCTCCCTCTGTGTTTTGCGCGTCCCTGTCTGGCCTCGCGCGTCCCTGTCTGGCCTCGCGC